CTATATCTCAAGTACTGGATGTTGAAGATGAGTTTCATTTTATGTTGAAAAGTCCATGTTATTCGGGTTTGCGTGTTAAATTTTTGAAAAAGTACTATGTAAAAAAACAAGTATGTTTGAAATGATAAATCTATTTAATGTAAATAACACAAAAGAACTTGGCCTAATATATAAAAGCGGCAAATGTAAGAAGAAACCAATTAACTTAATTTGTAACACTCTTCATACTGTTTGTACATTGCTGGTATTGTTTTGTATGTATTGCATGTATTGTATTGTATTGTATTGTCTGTAGATATTGTAAATATATGTCACTTTTGAAACCGATGGATCAAAAGACCCCAGGTAATAAAGAACTTGAACTTGGATGGATTTTTCTGAAATTTCTTAAGTACTTACAGCCCCTACCATGGAGTGCTAAATCTTTACTTCTTACCAATTATTTTAAACATATTCAGGTGAGCGATGCACGCCCTCTAGGCCTCTTGTTGTATAACTGAATTCCAAAATACAAGAATACTACAACACGAACCGTGGAACTTGCTGTATGAATATGTACTGCCTATAGCAGTCTTTTATAGATATACTTCCTTCCTAGAATACTATGCAACTTTCGGTCAGTATAATACTTAAATACGTAGACTTTCCAAATTTGTTTTGTTAAATGATACCAACTTTTCACTGAAAAATGCTTTATGATATATTACCAGAGATGTAGAAAACCTTTTTATTATTGTTATCATTTTATGATTTCTACATATTGTAAAGCATATTAAATATTGAAGACGTGAACGTATTGGGAATTACCTTCATTTACATGCCAGTATAGTTGATTAAACAGAAGTGTTTTTGTATTATGTTGTATGAAACTAACAAACAAGTTTCCTCGTTTAAGGAGATAAGTATTGTAAAATTGCGCATTTTATCCAATAGTTTTTATCATTCTGATGGATCGGTTTCGGCAGTATTTTACATTCACTATTTTCACACTCTATAATGAAAGCGATTTTATACTGACAGCAAACAAAAATTCACAGCATACTGTTTATTTTAATAGAACTATAAATGAAAATGAGAGCGTTGATACTTAACATATATTGATTTTACCAGCCTATTGCGAAAATTTGAGCTGGCAAACGTTTCCCGGTATATAATATGTTATATAGTTATAAGACATTACTCATGTTTGTTTAATTCGGAAACTAATGTAATTGAAATAACTCTAACAGAAGTCATTATTTAGCAATGCCTCCGCCAGGAGTCGAACCCGGGACATCTGGCTACTAATCTAAAGCTCTACAGAATAAACTAGAGAAATTTCCCCTCAGGTCGGCAGGAAGCGGCTCTTTTTTTAACCAGGGTGAAATATCTATAATCAAATTTTCTTTTTGCAATATATGGCGTGTAAATACATTTATTCAAAAATGACAACAAGATGAGATGTTTATTTTTTTTTTAATTTGTTTTGGAATTCTATGGTTGTGCAAGAAATACATATCCTTCTGGTATAGCTGATGAAGCAAAACTGAAGCAAGTTCTTGTTCTAAAACTCGCTCTGTATTTCTTGTTTCATATTTCAAAACCACACTCAACGATCTAAGTAAGAATCTAGTTGTGACTGCGGACAAAGCATTTAATAACTTTATCTTTTTCTGCCAATGCTATTACATTACTTGCTTGCATATAGGCTCACTCGATCACGAAGAAAAAATCTACCTATACAATTTCCATTTTTGTGAAAGACGAATTACTAGCTAATCACGATTCTGTTTTACATTGTTTTTCACATGCGCATTAATGATAAGGTCGCGCACCTGTCTCGTATGCATTTGATTCCAAATTTCACGAGAATCCTTATAAACAACTTTTTATCTCTTTCTCTTCTAGTCTTGCAACAAAGCCATTATCAAAACTTCTTGCTACCATTCTTAGAACAATCAGGGCTACTTTATACTCCAGAAGTGGAGTAAATGGTGGGTGATTTTGAAGCAATTGAATGATCTTTTGACCAGTCTTAAAAACCCTCGTCACAAAAACAAAAACAAAAGTTTCTTCAATCAAAACATCGACCCTTTACAATGCATAACCTCTGTCTTAGTTCTTTAATTGCAAGAACTGTCTTTTCCACGAAAGGCAAATATGAATATATTCGACAAAATGGCTACCATTTCCTGGCCTCCGATTGGTCAAAATTTAAATATCGAGTTTGATGAAATTTGGTATGTAGGTGTAGTATGGCACTACGAACACAACTGCGGTGTTCCTTTTGTAAAAATAAATAATGGCTGAGTACTTATCAGGGGAGGGGGGACTTCCGCTATTGCTCGCAATTGCAATTCTAGTTATTACTATTCTTATTTCTTCCACTTTCTTCCGCCGACGAGGTTTCCGACATGTTTCTCAAAAACCGTAGGGCGTAATTCAACGAAACTTTACATGAGTGTTCATGTATGACAGGCGGTGCGCAAAATTATTTTCGTTTTTTGATCGGTCATCCGACTGATTGGTCGACATTGTTCGATTTTGATGAAGATTGGTATATAGGGATATAAGGAGACTGCGAATTAACCGCATATGTTTCCTTGCCAAAGCAACCATATAGCAACCACACGAAGGCTTCTGATTGGTGGATGTTTAAATATTGTTCGATTTTGATGAAAATTGGTATATATGGGTATAAGGGGACTGCGAATTCAACCGTTTATGTTTCGTTTCCATAGCAGCCACACGGAGGCTTCTAATTGGTCAAACTTTAGATATTGTTCGATTTTGATGAAAATTTGTATATTGAGATATTAAAGGACTGCGAATTCAACCGCATATACTTCGTTACCTTAGCAACCACACGAAGGCTTCTGATTGGTGGAAATTTAGATATTGTTCGAGTTTGATAAAAGTTGGTATATAGGAGGAAAAGGGGATCGCAAATTTAACCGGATAGGTTTCATTGCCTTAGCAATCACACGGAGGCTTCTGAATGGTCGAAATTAACATATTGTTCGATTTCGATGAAAATTAGTATATAGGGGTATTAGAGGACTGCAAATTCAATCACATACGTTTCGTTGACATAACAATCACACAGACGCTTCTGATTAGTCACAATTTATAAATTGCTCAATTTCACTCAAATTAAGTTTATACATTGTAGGTGTGCTATGGCAATGCGATCCTTTTCTGATGCATCTTTGCGACTATGGGGGGCAGTTTGAGGGACATCTGTAATGGTCTCCCATTACAATTAGTACTTGTTACAATTTGTTGTTGATTTCCTAAATTAGGCCCTCTGTTTTTACCATCCCCACCCACGCTCACCACCACCCCGGCTCCTCGCTATCAAATGTCCAATATAACACCGAATGGCTTGAATCGCGTGTACAAACAGGATTTTCTTGTAAACTTCCGGTATTTCACTTATAGATCCCGGCAATGTTTAATGTTTACTAGGACTTTATACGACGTACTTAATTATTTTGGTTTTCCAGTTTTGAAAGTATAAGCTAAATAAAGACTGAATAAAGACAAAAACTACCTGCAAAATAGTTGTGATCAACAGTAAACTACTGAAATGCTAAACGCCAGTTTACCTCACGTAAATTGTCCTATGTTAAAATATCCGACTAAGATTTTCCGAGTCCTTTCAGCGAAAATAACGTAAGATACACAGGTTCAATTTCGATAATGACGTGAAATGTCTTTAATTTTCAAACATAAATTATGTTAAAAATCAATATAATAGTATGTCTCAATAAGATTAAATCACAACGGCATAGCGCATCAAATTTTGGAGGGTTTATATTCGAGTTATTTTCTGCCTGTATAAATTTGCAAAATATAAACAAATCAAATTAATTGTATATTTTATAGAAAAGATGGTTGTTTTTACTATCTACAACGTTGCAAGAAACTTAATCCCCGCAAATTGAAATAAACTTGATATATTTTGCATGAGCATAATTAAATCGCTACATAACATATAATTAAATAAACTCAATCCATGCAATGCAGCAAATGTGGCCTTTAACACAGCATCATGTTTACAACTATTATATAAGGTTTTGTACTTATGAAAACAAAGCTTAGCTGCATAGTTATCGAACATTTAATATCACTGATGGACACTAATTAATTTGACCCAAAAGTAATAATTGTAAGAAAATGGCATATACAAAGATGTTACCAGACTTAAACAACCTGAAAACGATTGATTTTCGTATCGTATTTTAATTTTGCAAACGATTACAATTGGAAACGCATTATGTTTATACAGTGGCTTTTAACACTTTCAAACTAACAAAGTTCAAAATTTGACTGGATATTTAAGTCATACATTCTTTGAATCAAAACACTGTATCAATACTGAGGCCATAGTGCATCTACATCTTGCGTGTGACGTCACTTTGCATCATGCTTTCATGTTTTGACAGGTCAAAAGTGACGTGCAGGTAGTAATGCAGTATATCAACCAATGAATACGCATTAAGTCTCTGTATGGTAATATTGTAAAACACGAACGAATTGATGAATAAAACACGTTACGTATTAATGACGGTTTAAACGTATATACGGATACAATATTAAAATATATAATAAGATTAATTTCAATGCCTTACCAAAATATTTATAGACTGTATGATACTGTTCACAGTACGATCCTTCAATGACCTTATCTGTTGATAGGACGTTAAACGCTGTACAACCAACTGGTCCCAGTTTTAGCTGACAGAGTTAGGGCTAAAAAGACGTCGCCTTAGTTACATCTACACGTCTCAATTGCGATATTAACGGTAATATAGCCAACAAGTGCCAGTACAGTAAAACGTATAATTTCCTATCGAAATCTGGACAACCTACCCCCTCTCTCCAATAAGAACAATAACAACAATAATATTGTACTTTCTTTTTTCCATGAAACAGATTTATGTATTAGTTACAATACAATCTTGAAGTCCCTTAAATATATATATATACATACCAGAAACATAGTTGCACTATTTGGATATATCATTTTTGTATTACATATCTCATCAAGTCATAATCTTGCATTTAAATTTCATAATTTCTTTTCACACAAGCTTTCTAAAACTATTTCTCTATGATGTATATTTACCGAATGTTGCGTAATATTCCATAAAAGAAGTGAATCGAAAGTATATTGACACGGGCAGTAAAACGTTATACATAAAATTAAATATTTCCTTTGGTAGTTTGTTATGTTTTAATATCCGTGTACTAGAAAATTCAGAAAGGAGAAAACTATCGTTAAACCAAAGGATGAGGTTGCTTGCCATGATAAATATAAAAATTGATTCAAGAAAAGCGACATTTGACTGACGGTCAGATTTTTTAAAACGGTTTGCATACATTAAAAATACGACCTGGATATAGTCTTGGAAAACGCTAAGGATGCTTGTAGACATGTATATATTTGCTGCATAATCGGAAGACACGTCGCCTACTATCCCTTCAAACATATGCATCATGATCATACCAAACGCCGACAGCAAATACACATATTCCCGAGATTTCAAACCTTTCGATGAACTGTCAGGAGTACAGTTATTTACCAAACAAAAAAATCCAGCAAGTATCACAATCATCATTACAAGTTTTAGAGTAAATTCATATATTTCAGCAACGTATCCAATGCTTTCTAAATTTCCAATGTCCAATGCCATGACGACGTAACACACAACAAGACCGATACCTGTTGTTAAACTCACAGCCAGTGTTATCAAATGGTACAACTTCCTTCTTCCTTGATTTTCAGAAATCGGATCCTCAACTGATGTGATATTATCAGGCAGTATTGTCAAGTCCCTGGTACCTCTCTCTGTGTACGGTGATCCGATTACAGGGAAATAAGTTTCCGTGGGTGACCATATCTCAAGAATAATTGCAGCTAAAAGAAGACTATACTCCACGTATATTGGATGTACAAATTTCCGTAATTTAACCTTAAGAAAAGTCATTGTAGTATTGGTTTTTAAGCAGGAAATTAAATTATCTTCATAGTCAATGTTAATCAAATACGACATTGTATCGCTCATCAGGTATATGTACAACGTCACAGATATAATTGCGGTTAGCATCATCAGCATAACGTTATTCACCAAAATTGTCTGTTTCAGTTTGAATGATGAAAAGTAAGTGATAAAAATAAGTTGTGAAAAAAGGCAAAAGATCAATAAGATATTGAAACAAAATAAAACGTCCCAATAAAATCCTCCAGAGGTATATACTGAACAATCGATTTGCTTCCCGATAAAAAACGCACAATACAATCCTGATGTCAGACCGAAAATCCACAGAAATATCACTTGAACTTTCATTGTATTTGAGTTTCGTCGTGCAACAACAACGGATTGGAGGCCTTGTTTCCGAACAAGGCATCCCATAATATAGCTGCCAATCACCCCAGAAACCATTAGTAAGGACAGAAGAATCAGGACAAATCCCAATCGGAGATCCATATGGGTTGGTATCCATTTGGTGGCGGAGAATATTATCACTGTTGCAAGAACGATCAGAAACAGAACGCGGGACGAAATGGTACAATCATAATACCAGGATCCATTCTGTCGTCTACGGTAATTTCCAGCAGTGAACGGTAGAATGAATGTTGATGCGAACAGCTTGCCTAACAAGGAATCCATGGTCAAGGAGAATCTAAAAGAAAGATCTGATAGGAATATTTTGTTTCTGAAATATCGACTATTACGTTCCTCAATATCATTGTGAAATCATAAGGATGTTTATTTTCTTCTACATTGAATTGTTTTCTGGTTTACGATACGTTACGATTTATACATAAATTTTTTTTCAAACTCTGAAATTTCTACCATAAGATATATATATGATATACCAATTTATATTCTTATCGTAATTATGTGTTTAAAAATTGACACTATAAGCAATATCAGTGAGAAATTGACACTCAAAAATTATAACCGTGACACTTAAATCTGTATACTATATTTTTCCTTGTTTTGAGTACTAATAACGAAAATTTGCTATAATAAACGTGTTACAAGTATCACGGACACATTCCATAATTATATGAATTACATAAGACAGGGGTACTTGTACATACAGTGGTTTATATATGAATATTAAGACTTACCTGTGGTTAGCATTAACGGCCGTCGCCTTAGTCTAGTACAGAGGTTACTTCGTTAAACACATCTGATGAAGTCTCTCAAAACATTCCTGCCTTATGCTACAATACAGAGCGTGTCTCTATTTATACTCAGCGAAACAACGAGGATCAATTTAGGAGAAAAAAATTGAATTACGTAGGATTGCGGAAGATTTTTTTTCTTTTGTTGCTGTTTGAGATTTTAAAAGATTGATAAGATGATATGCAAACCTATTCAGACGACTGTCAAAACGTCTGTGACCGATTGTTTATTACATCAAACGCACAGGCACGCACACACACATACACACAGAAACACCCTTAAACACCCATTCACAAACACAAACACTTCATTAGGAACACGTGGTAAGATGTACAATGCAATTATCAATTTCTACTTCTTATTTCTAGTCAGTGTGTTTAAATAATTGTCAGTCATATTTTTTTCAGAATCGATAGAGCACTAACTAATGACGTAGTAATGAGGAGTGACCGACGGTTACGAACAGCGTGCAACGCGATTAAATCTTACCTCGAAATCTTAACATTCTATACCTGTTATTTTTCATAAACTCACTTTCAACTATATTTTGAGTTACTACTATATTTTGAGTTATCTTATACTGTATCACTTGTCAGTCACAAGTTCGATGAACAGAAATTGTAATGTTTGAAGTAGCATTACATGGAAGTTTATTAAAATATATACTGATTAACAAAAGTTAAAAAGAGATATATTTTGCAAATATAAAGTTTAACTACTATATTACTACATTTCACAGTTCTCATTTACATACGGTGGCTTATATACCCGTACGGAATTGCCATAGAATTTGAACATTTCTAAACTTCCTTGTCTTGAACTGATACACAATAGTATAACAGCTTTGAAATATAGAAATTTTACAACAAATTGAAATTGAATCCTGTTGAAACGTATACAAAAAAGATTCGTTGCCTTCTGCGTTCATACTACCGTATTTGTCGTCAAAATGAAGGTCATTCGTCATGTTATATTTGTATAAAAACAAACAAAAAATAAAAATAAAACGTTTAAATGCTGTACAAGGAAAAAACAGTCTAAGCGGGTTGCTACAATGGTAACCCGCATTTTTTATTTGTTGAATGACAAATAAAAAAATGTTTAAATCAAATACAATGGTAACTATGGTAGCCTTGGTTGCTAGGATAATACAGTTCCAGTGAATGTGCATCGATATGAATAAAATTAGAAAATACACTTAACAACATTTTGCATTGCTTTTTATAGCTTTTAGGATTATAATTAATTTGAATACCAATAAAAACACTTTTATTCATTCATGACTGTCGTTATGTCCAAGCAGTGACACACTGCTCTGGAAGTGACCCTGTCGAATGTTGCAGAATGAAGCCGCCATTGTTTACTTTACCGTCAACGAAAATTGAATGTGCAACCATGAAATAAAAACAATTGTCAGAATACCCTTGTTTTATGATTAGATATAATGTATCCCTAACATGTCCCTCCCTTTTTTTAGATGTTGAGGAACCAACGCGAGCGTTAATCCTATATATATGAATTTCGAATATATGAACCGTGACACTACTCAAAAGAGATAACTAAGACTATCAAGGTAACACGGCATACCTCGGGATATCCATCAGCAGTACTCGTGTGCCATCTGCTATCTAGGTAAATGAACGTAAGATGCACACATGCGATTGTGCTTTTGGAGGTTGGTAATACATACATAAGGTCAAAAATAAATTACACTGCAACATACAGCTACTTCATCCTTCTACTCTCATCGGTGATGCTAGGTTTTTAAAAAGTTGAAATGCGAATGGGTCTAAACTGATATTGAAACAAGATGGAAGCGAATAAAACCCCAACATTATATGAATTTCAAACATTAGAGGAATTTTGATAAGAAACAGACAGTGTTTTATATATAATAATTAGTCTTACCTGTAGTTAGTGTATACGCCTTTATCTGGTACAGGTGCTGCTTCGTTAAACAATCTAATGAAGTCTCTCAAAGTCTTATTAAACACGCATGAACTCACGGACATACGGAAGCACGTGCAAACACCGATATACTCGTGAATTATAGTACACAGTAAGATGCACTTGAAGAAAACTTTCCCAATCTTATAAATAATAAATAAATATGAATTGAAAATGACCATCCATCTTCATAATCCGACTCAAAGAGACAAATTTTCACAGGTAGAAAGTCGTTACAACAGTGACACTACACCGGACTAAATATACAAACCTACACTAATAAGCAGAAGTTAATTTATTTACAACCGGATTATCCGAAGCACAACTCTCACTTGTAAATAGCAGTTAATTTATTATGTATTGACCATCGAGTAATCCAACCCAAAACTCAACAACGGTAAAAAGTAGGTACGGTTATTTTTTGACAAACTCGTAATCCGGAGCACACTTCTACACTGGTAAACAGTTATTAATTTATTGTTATCTGGATTATCCGGGGATTAACTCTACATTGGTAAACATTAATGTATATAAAAAGTAATCAGGATTCTTGTCAACCGATCTTCACGACAGAAAAGCTCCCTATACTATAGTTGAAAAAAGGATATTCATGCGCTTTGTTATGTTAAAAATTTAGGAAGCAGTGAAGGAATATCATTAATTAACCATAAACAAGCAAGATGTTTGCGTGTTAAATTTTTCAATGTTTTCGTCTAGTTGTTAATATGTATACAATCACGACATTTACGGTTTTCTTATACTCTTCATCATAGTTTAGCCTTGGATAAACATTATTTTATGACGGTTTTTTGCACATAGTTCTCAAGTGATACTATGAATTAGCTATATTTAATATGGTACGGATTCATTGCATGTTTTGCCTTCATTGTTATGACGTATGGGTTGAAATATATGACACTGTTTTGCTTTGTTGCTGTTAGCGTAATTTCGTAAGTTTTACCCTTTTGAATAATGTGAATTGCAATATGGTTGATTTGTTTTAAAATGATTGCCAATATTAGGCTTTTAAATAAAACAAGAGATCCCAGAGGGATCTTGTCGCCCACCATTGTAATATCTTCATTAGTTCTTTATCAGTTCGATCTTTTCTCTTCTTTTCTCTAATCTGTTTGATCAAGTCATGTTAGCAGTAAATGCACATTGAGGTAACTTTTGATCTTAACTTAATAATTTTGTGTATTAAAGACAACATTCAAAGTAAGTTTGTCATTTCACATATTTACTAGTACATGTACAGTACTAATGTGAAAGAAATAGAATCAATCATTGCAATATGAGAAAGATCTGTTAAGTTTTTCCTTTAGCCATTTTGTTTTTATGATCAGTCTCAAAATATAACATGCACAACGAGGGATCAAGGGGAACCTACATATGAAATTTGAGAAAGATCCCTCAAGTTATTCTTGAGAAATAGTACTAACAAACCATCAATGTCAAAAATCGAAGATGTCTGCCGTCCGGCCATTTTGTTTATCTGATCAATTTCAAAAGTAAACATGAACAATAAAGGATAGTGGGGAACCTGCATATAGAATTTGAGAAAGAACCCTCCAGCACTTCCTGAGAAATACCACTAACAAACTGTTAAAATCAAAGATTTATTTATCCGATAAGTCTTTTATGAAAATATGCATAACGACATACCAAGGGGAACCTACATATCCAGTACTTCCTGAGTAATAGCCATAACAAACCTTCCCTGTCTAAATCAAAGATGGCTGTCTGTCTGCCATTTTGTTTATATGATCAGTCTCAAAAGTAAATATGCATAACTAAGGACCTAGGGAAACCTACATATAAGATTTGAGAAAGATCTCAAGACTACTTATTGAGAACCAGCGATAACAAACATTCACTTCAAAATCCAATATGGCTGCCTATCGGCCATTTTGTTTATCTGATCAGTCTCCAAATCAAACAAGCACAACTACAGACTGCAAAACGAAGGACCAAGGAAAATCTGTATATCAAATTTGAGAAAGATCCCTCCAGTAGTTCCTGATAAATAGCCATAACAAACCTTTAATGTCACAATCCAAAATGGCTGCCTATCGGCCATGTTGATTATCCGATCAGTATCAAAAGTTGCCTTGCAAAACGTATGACCTAGGGGAACCGACATTTAAAATTTGAGAAAAATCCCTCCAGTATCTCTTGAGAAATAGCTATAACAAACCTTCACTGTCAAAATCCAAGATGGCTGCCTGTCGGCCATGTTGTTTTTCTGTTCAGTCTCAAAAATTATCCTGCACAACAACTACAGACCAATGGGAACCTACATATAAAATTTGAGAAAGATTGCCCTGGTACCTCCTGAGAAATAGTGATAACAAACCTTCACTATCAAAATCCCAGATGGCTGCCTGTCGGCCATGTTGTTTATCCAACCAGTCTTAAAAGTTGCCCTGCACAACAAGGGACCAAGGCAACCTACATATTAAATTTGAGAAAGATCCCTTTGGTACTTCCTGAGAAATAGCGATAACAAGAATTGTTTAAGGACGGACCACGGACGCAGAGCGATTTGAATAGCCCACCATCAGATGATGTTGGGTTGAAAACATATTGCTATCAAATATCTTATTAACTTGATGGAATAATCGGGCGTTGGAATTTTCTACATTCGACTTTCTTTTTAAATGTTACTATTCTTATATCATTTCTTTTTTCATATACCTTTTTTATTTATCTCGCCAGCATGTTGATAAATGGAGAACAGCTAGGGTAGGGGGTTCAATTCTCCTGAACAAATCATGTCCTCTGCAGGAGGGCCTCGTTACACCTCACTCACTTTGATACACTATCGACTTATAATTTACTAGACGTCATATTATTATCATTTGTTTTTACATTATTCCCTAGATTTTGTTGTCGATTTCCTGTTTCATGCCTACTTTTACCCTTTTTTCACCCTTCCCTCGCTCACCACCATATCAAAAGTCAAATATAACACTAAGTGGCTTGAATTGGATGAAATCACGATTTTCTTGTAAACTCCTGTATTTGGCTTGTGGATTGCGACAATGTATCAAGTTTACTAGAACCATATATACAACGTACTTGATAATTTTCGTTTTCCGTTTTTGAAAATATTAGCTGATTCAAACTTTTGTACCTCAAAACATAGACTGCTTGCAAAAAACGTTCTTCCCGCAAATGGTCCGATGTTAAAATATCTGTTCGGGTCCTTTCAATGAAAATAACGTAAGAAACACCAGATCAATTTCAATAATGACGTGAAATGTCAAGTCTTTATTTTTAAAGCATAGGTTAAAATCAAGTTAAAAGTAGGTTTGAAGAAGATTAAATCACATCAAATTTTGGAGGGTTTTATTTTCGAGTTATTCTTTGGCTGTATACATGTGCGAAATATGAACCAAGCTAATTAATTGTAGTTGGTTGTTTTTACTGTTTACAGCGATGCAGGAAACTAAAACCCCGCAAATTTAAGTAAACCTGATAACTTTTGCATCAACATAATTAAATAGCTACATAACACCTCATTTAATAAACACAATTCATGATATGCAACAAATGTGGCCTTTTACACAGTATCATATTCACAACTATTGCATACGGTTTTGCATTAAGATTACAATGTTCAGCTGTATAATTAACGAACGTTAAATTACACCGATGGACACTAATGAACTCGACCTGAAATGAATCATTGTAAGAAAATAGAAGATAAAAAGAAGTAAATAGACTCTAAAGGCCTCAAAACGATTGATTTTCGTATCGTGTTTTATTTTTGTAAACAATTAAAATTTGAAACACATAGGGTTTATGTAGTGTCTTTCAAAGTTTTAGAATTAAATAAAGTTCAAATTTTGACTGAACACTCAAGTTTTACACAGGTTTGAATCAGTACTTAGGCCACACTGCATGTACATCTTGCATATGACGTCACTATACATCGTGCCTTCATGTCTTGTCCGGTCAAAGGTCACGTGCAGGTAGTAATGCAGTATATCAACCAATTAATACACCGTCAGTCTCTTTTGCAACATTGTATAAAACGAACGTATTTATAAATAAAACACGTTACGTATTAACGGTTTAAACGTATATAAGGATATAACCTTCAAATAAATTAATAAGATGTATGTTTCATGCTTAACCAAATATATTATAGACTGTATGATACTGTTCACAGTTCGTCCTTCAATGACCTTATCTGTTGCTAGGACTTTACGCGCTGTACAACCAACTGGTCCCAGTTTTAGCTGAGTTAAGGCTAAAATGGTGCCACCAGAGTTAAATGTACACGCCTCATTGTATAACTCTGAAAGTTATGTATTATTTATATTTAATACAGTAGAACTTTTAATTTCCTATCGTAATCCGGGAAACAAACACACTAAACAAAGCAAAAAACCATTGTACTTTTTTCCAATGAAACAGATTCCTTTCCCAAAAATGTCCAACAATTATATATATATGTATACATTAAAATTATTTGGATTTAAGATAAAGTATCTTTTTATTACATATCATCAAGCAAGAATCTGGCATTTTAATTTTATAATTTCTGTCACACAAGCTTTCTAAAAATATTTCTCTATGATGTATATTTACCAAATGTTGCGTAATATTCCATAAAAGAAGTGAAACGAAAGTATATTGACATGGGCAGTAAAACGTTATACATAAAATGAAATATTTCCTTTGGTAGTTTGTTATGTTTTAATATCCGTGTACTCGAAAGTTCAGAAAGAAGAAAACTATCGTTAAACCAGAGGATGAGGTTGCTTATCATGATAAACATAAGAATTGATTCAAGAAAAGCGCCATTTGACTGACGGTCATATTTTTTACAACGGTTTGCATACATTAAAAATACGACCTGGATATAATCTTGGAAAACGCTAAGGATATTTGTAGACATATATATATATTTGCTGCATAATCGGAAGACACGTCGCCTACTATCACTTGCAACGTATGCATCATGATCATACCAAACGCCGATAGCAAATACACATACTCCCGAGATTTCAAACCTTTCGCTGAACTGTCAGGAGTACAGTAATTTACCAAACAAAAGAATCCAGCAAGTATCACAATCATCATTACAAGTTTTAGAGTAAATTCATATACTTCAGCAACGTATCCAATGCTTTCTAAATTTCCTATGTCCAATGCCATAACGACGTAACACACAACAAGACCGAGACCTGTTGTTAAACTCACAGCCAGTGTTATCAAATGGTACAACTTCCTTCTTCCTTGATTTTCCGAAATAGGATTCTCAACTGATGTGAGGTTATCAGGCAGTATTGTCGAGTTCCTGGTACCTCTCTCTATGTACGGTGATCCGATAAAAGGGTAATACGTTTCCGTGGGTGACCATATCTCAAGAATAATTGTTGCTGAAAAAAGACAATACTCCATATATACTGGATGTACAAATTCCCGTAACTTAACCCTAAGAAAAGTCATTGTGGTATTGGTTTTTAAGCAGGAAATTAAATTATCTTCATAGTCAATGTTAATCAAATACGACATTGTATCGCTCATCATATATATGTACAACATCACAGATATAGTTGCGGTTAGCAACATTAACATAACGTTATTCACCAAAATAGTCTGTTTCAGTTTGAATGATGAAAAGTACGTTATGAAAAGCAGTTGGGAAAAAAGGCAATAGATCAATAAGATATTGAAACAAAATAAAACGTCCCAATAAAATCCTCCAGAGGTATATACTGAACACTCGATCTGCTTCCCGATAAAAAACGCACAATACAATCCTGATGTCAGACCGAAAATCCACAGAAATATCACTTGAACTTTCATTGTATTTGAGTTTCGTCGTGCAACAACAACGGATTGGAGGCCTTGTTTCCGAACAAGGCATCCCATAATATAGCTGCCAATCACCCCAGAAACCATTAGTAAGGACAAAAGAATTAGGACAAATCCCAATCGGAGATCCATATGGGTTGGTATCCATTTGGTGGCGGAGAATATTATCACTGTTGCAAGAACGATCAGAAACAGAACGCGGGACGAAATGGTACAATCATAATACCAGGATCCATTCTGTCGTCTACGGTAATTTCCAGCAGTGAACGGTAGAATGAATGTTGATGCGAACAGCTTGCCTAACAAGGAATCCATGGTCAAGGAGAATCTAAAAGAAAGATCTGATAGGAATATTTTGTTTCTGAAATATCGACTATTACGTTCCTCAATATCATTGTGAAATCATAAGGATGTTTATTTTCTTCTACATTGAATTGTTTTCTGGTTTACGATACTGCATTACATTTATAATTGAAGGTAAACGACTTTTTAGGATTGTACAAGATGTATACATAATTTTATGTTTCAAAATCTGAAATTTCTACCATAAGATATATATATGATATACCAATTTATATTCTTATCGTAATTATGTGTTTAAAAATTGACACTATAAGCAATATCAGTGAGAATTTGACACTCAAAAATTATAACCGTGACACTTAAATCTGTATACTATATATTTCCTTGTTTTGAGTACTAATAACGAAAATTTGCTATAATAACGTATGTTAAGTATCACGGACACATTCCATAATTATATGAATTGCATAAGAGAGGGGTACTTGTACATACAGTGGTTTATATATGAATATTAAGACTTACCTGTGGTTAGCATTTACGGCCGCCGCCTTGGTCTAGTCCAGAGGTTACTTCGTTAAACACATCTAATGAAGTCTCTCAAAACCTTCCTGCCTTATGCTACAATAAAGAGCGTTTTCTCTATTTATACTCAACGAAACAACGAGGATGCAGTTTTGAAAAGAAAAAAAGATTGAAATACGGAAAGTGGAGTTGCGGAAGATTTTTCTTTCGTTGCTGTTTGTTACGAGATTTTAAAGGATTGATAATATATTATGTAAACCTATTCAGTCGACTGTCAAAACGTCTGTGACCGATTGTTTATTACATCAAACACACAGGCACACACACACACATACACACAGAAACACCCTTAAACACCCATTCACAAACACAAACACTTCAATAGGAAAACGTGATAAGACGTACACTGTAATTATCAATTTCTACTCCTTAATTCTCTTCATTGTGTTTAAATATTTGTCAGTCATATTTTTTTCAGAATCGATAGAGCACTAACTAATGACGTAGTAACTTGAAGTGACCGATATTTCACGGTTTTGTTACGAACAGCGTGCAACTCGATAAAATCTTACCTCGAAATCTTAACATTCTATACCTGTTATTTTACATAAACTTACTTTCAACTTTATTTTGAGTTATTACTACATTTTGAGTTACCTTATACTGTATCACTTGTCAGTTACATGTTCGAAGAACATACAATTTAATATTTGAAGTATCATTACATGGAAGTCTATTAAAATATATACTGAATAACAATAGTTAAAAAGAGATATATTTTGCAAATATAATGTTAAACTACATGTACTTAAAACTGCAATAACTACTATCGACTAAAACTTATAACATAAAAAACGTTCAAGGAGATATTAAAACATTTTTGTCTCATAAACTACCAGATGTGAAACCCAGAGATGGGTTTAACCGAACATATAGCGTAATGACATTTTGTGACGGGAACGTAAAACTTTATAATATACTTACCGTCGATCTTGTCGTTGATACAAATGGTCACATTTCACAGTTCTCATTTACATTCGGTGGCTTATATACCCGTAAGGAATTGCCATAACATTTGAAAATTTCTAAACTTCCTTGTTTTGAACTGATTTACAATAGTATAACAACTTTGAAATATAGAAATGTTACAACACATTGAAATTGACAGATGTTGAAACGTAATTGTATAAGTATTGAGCTGTATTTTTACGGCGTATACGCTAGTCTTAACGAAATTGGTAAAGAACATATATCTATGGTGCGTGTTAGTGCTTATACAAAAAAAGATTCGTTGCCTACTGCAGTCATACTACCGTATACGTCGTCAAAATGAAGGTCATTCGTTATGTTATATTTGTATAAAAACAAACACAAAATAAAACGTTTAAATGCTGTACGAGGAAAAAAAGTCTTAGCGGGTTGCTTCAATGGTAACTACGGAAGCCTTGGTTGCTAGGATAATACAGTTCCAGTGAATGTACATCGATATGAATAAAATTAGAAAATACACTTAACAACATTTTGCTTTGCTTTTTATAGGTTTTAGAATCATAATTAATTTGAGTACCAATAAAAAACACTTTTATTCATCCATAACTCCCGTTATGTACAAGCATTGACACTGCTCTGGCAGTGACGCGGTCGAATGTTCTAGAACGAAGCCGCCGTTGTTCATTTTACCGTGAACGAGAATTGAATGTGCATCCATGAAATAAAACATTGTCAGTATACTTTTGTTTTTTTATTAGATATAAGGTATCCCGAACATGTTCCATCTTTCAAGATATTGACAAACCAAGGGTGCGTATTTATATGAATTTCGAATGTATGAACCGTGTCACTACTCAAAAGAGATAGCAATGGCTATCAAGTTAGCACGGCAAACCTCTGGCTAGGATATCGACTTACATAAATGTATGCCATCTGCCATCTAGGCAGATGAACGTAAGACGCACACATGTGATTGTGGCTTTGGAAGTTGATAATACTTAAAAAAGACCAAAATAATACAGCTGCTTCATCCTTCAAGGACTGAAACCCCAAAAGTATTTGAATTTAAAAAATAAGAGAATTTTGATAAGATACAGACAGTGGTTTATATATAATAATCAGTCTTATCTGTAGTTAATATATACGCGTTTATTTGGTACAAGTGATGCTTCGTTAAACACATCTAAGGTAATCTCCCAAAGTCTTCCTGCTTTATGATACAACAAAACTTGTTTTCACTAATTATAAGAAACGAGGATGTATTTTTTTTAAAAGTTTTGAATAGCGGTAACCGGTGTTTGTCTGTCATATCTAAAAGCACTCACGGACATACGGAAGCATGCGCAAACACAGACATAATCGTGAATATGAGAACACGAAAAGATGCACTTGAGGAGGATTTTTTCAAACTTTTCTAATCTTAAATTAAAATATGAAGTTGATATGACCCTCTATCTCTATAATCCGACTTCAAGAAACTTCTCTTAACTGGTAAAAAAACCGGCAATGCAGCTACACACCTGTTGTCCAGATATCAATAAACAGCTATACACTAGTAAGCAGTATTTAATTTATTGACAACCGGGACATCGGAACACAACTCTAAAGTTGCAAAAAGTAGTTAATTTATTATTTATTGACAACTAGATTATCCGGACCACACCTCTACACTTGTTAATAGATCGGTAGTTAATTGATCGTTAATTCATAACCGGGTTATCCGGAGCACGTATCGTAGGAGGCGACTAATGCGTGAACCCCCCGCAAAATTGGGGGACACACAAGCGACCAAAATAAATCTGCTGCGAGGCAATGAGTTCTGTCCCCAGGCCGGGACATACCAAAGTCCTTCAAAATGGTAGTTGCTATACCCCGCTTAACGTTCAGCATTTAGGGGAATGGCAACATCTTGTTCACCCATTGTCAGTATAATGTGACCGGGCCGAATGCTATACTGGTTGCCTTCGGCATGGTATTTCATAAGCATTACTTTTCATTCTTGAACAAAAGATCATTTATGAACAACTGGGTTATCCGGAGCACAATACTGCACTTGTGTTACTATAATTTATTGACAAACTGGTAATCCGGAGCACACCTCGTCTTTGGTAAACCGTTGGTAATGTATTGACATCCGGGTTATCAGGAGCATAACTCGTCATTGGTAAAAAAATATTTATACGAAACGGATATTAAGACTCTGCTCAATCGATCTACACGACAGAAAAGCTCTCTACACTATAGTTGAAAATAAAGGATATTTTGCGCTTTGTCATGTAAAACATTCAGGAAGCAGTGAAGGTATATACAAATTAACCATTATCATGCAAGAAAATTGTGCAATGTCAGGTTCGTCTAGTTGTAAATATGCATACAATCACGACATTCAGGGTACCCTTATACGCGGAATCACATTCTTGTTAAGATATACATTATTTTATGATGTTACTTTGCATATAGTTTACATGTAATACTAAATATTATCCATATGTGATATGGTATGGAATAATTTCTTGTTTTACCTACAGCATGATGACGTATGGGTTGAAATATGTGTCACTAGTTTATCTTAAGCAGAGTTGCTTTTTTGCTGTAACTGTTATTACGCAAGCTAAGCCCTGTTGAGTAATTCGCACCGCAATATTGTTGATCTGTTTAAAAATATGATTCTCAATATTAAACTTTAATATCTTGTTAACATGATGGAATATTGAGGCTATGGGATTTTTCTCAACACGATTTGCTTTTTTGTATTCACCCTATGGGGGAACTTCAGTGGGGACTATTAATTTCGGTTTCAGTCCCAGCTTTTGACATCTGTTGCCAAACACTGTTAAGGGCTTTCGTGGGTTTGCTTCTGTCGCTAATTATTTGGATAACTCAGATATCGATTTCTTTAAAAAAAGGAATAGATCTAAGATACAACCTGAAGGCGTTCCGAATATGGAGATGTTCCGAATATGAATCAGGCACCTTTAAGGTTCCCGAAGGGGTAGACTGTTATATTAAATATGGCTATTGATTGATTTAGATATTTTTTTGTCTGACCAACGACTTTATTGGTAAAAATTCTTTTTAAACCAATGGCAATGATGTAATAAGATGTTCAGGTAGAAAAGTCACGCCAAGGCCACTGGCTCCAATGGCGAAAGTAAAACATGATTGGCGATTTGAAACTACTCTGGGCGAAAATGTCAAAGAGGGGCTTTCATCTAAGTTACTGTCGACAATAGATTTTTTTTAGCGATACTGTTTCTAGAGCAATTGTTACAGGTAAATAAAGCCCCACGACATCACTGTGTACTACGATGTCACGACTGAATACATTTTCAATGAATGGCAAGGTCAGGTATTGGAACTCTTTTGTGTTTTGACAAAATGGTCACCTGTCAACACAACGACCCCGTCTGATATCCAAATCGCAATTGATCAAATTATGGTTTCATTGTCTAGGTCCGAGGGGTGCTCTATGGAGAACAATATGGTAAGTTAGGGTCGGGAAATGATGATAAAATTGACCCCGGGGTATGCCCCACCTTTGCAGATTTAACCCCCGAACCTTACTTTGAAACGATCGAGATCCTCACTCCAAAATTATATATACAATTGCTGGGCATAAAAAAACTTATGCAGTCAAGATATTAGAATTGACCTTGGGGTCTACCCACAACCCTAGGGACCTAATTTCTTAAGTCACAATTTGGAAACAGTTGAGATCCCCACCCCATAAACATACAATTGATAGGACATGGAAATCTTATACAGATATGCTTCAAGGATTGGCTTTGAGATCTGGCCCTATCCCTGAGATTTTATTTGGAGAATATTTCTTCATGATTCCTTAGATATCCAGGTATGCGATAAGACAAATATCTGGGGCTCTTGTTTAAATCTTAATCATATTGATTGAACTGTCACTGTTAAATGAACGAATAACTAGTTTTCCAAACTGTATTATAAATGTATAAATCTGAACCCCTTTTTACCAATGTAAACTTTTTATATACACCGGTATGTATCCGAGCTCTCCGTAATACAACGGAAGTGATTATTAAGTCAGATCAGACCATTTATATTTGGAAACCAAGCCAAGGAAAGT